CCATCCATCCTGATACTTAGTTACTTCCTAAGTATGTGAAGGTCGAGCAGTGAATTAAGGAAGAATGAAGAATTGATGCCTTTGATGTTGGTAAAGAGTATTGAATGGAATTCCAAAAGAACAAACAAATGAATTGTGGAGGAAGTGTGACCAGGGTGTCCTTAGAAGCCAGAATGGTGAAACTTGGTCTCACATACATTGAGCAGGTTGTGTTAGGTGACAGTCCTTGGAAAAAGGCATCAGGTTGTGAAAGTAGATGGTCAGAAAAAGAGGAACATCCTCAACAAGACGGGTTGGCAGAGGACGGATTAACATAGTGACTGCACCATTGGTCTTGAGATACAGGATAGGGCGGGATTTCAATCTGTATTTTGCTTGATGGCCTCTAACAGCAGTCATGACAGTGCTTGACTGAAGTGCAGCTTAGTGTTTAAGGTGACATACTTGTTTTTCTATCATTTTCTAAGGCTTCAGCGCCTTTAATCTCTCAGTAACCCGTCAGTAGACTTTTTGTCCAAGGAGCCGGAGTGGGTGCTAATTGCCAACTCTTCGAGTAGTAGATGAGCCTTCCACTATGTGTGCCACCAACAGTCCCCAGGCTATCTTGTCCAATCTAATTGAGACAAAAATAATTGCTGACTGTGAATTGGAAAATGTGCATTATTGGTCATTTTAGGAATGATAGTTCTGTAGATTGTTGTTACTAGGGGTTAAGACTCACAGTGATCCTATGAATAGCAGATCTGAACATTGCCCTGTTTGACAAAATTATTATTGCATGACCTAAACTTCTTCCTGAGTAGCTTTACATTCTCAATAATATTCTTATAGCAGAGAAAAAGTGTGTCCAAAGTATATGGCTTCTTATCTGTCAAGAATCCTGCATTTGGGGTGGCCAGAGCATCGAGAATACACTGCTACTTAGAATGTACCTGCCAGTGTTATAGAAACTTAGTGTAAGAAGGGAGCTTGTGTCTCTCAAAATTCAGTTGGAAAAGTTTCTTTCACCAGTTTTCAGGAGGCTGTCTATACCTCAACAAGAAGAAAGACCCTTAATAACATGAGCTGATGTGGTGACTGTAATAAGGGGCTTAAGCATGATGGAATGACTGAGGTTGATGCAGGACAGGGCAGGGTTTTGCTCTGCTGTCCATAAAGTTGTTAAGAGTCATAGTCACATTGACGGCATGTAAGCACACAGCAACGACAGCTTAGTACTTAAGCCCTGTTGACGTAACGTTTAACATAGTGGGCTGCTCATTGAAAAGTCAGCCGTTCAAATCCACCAACCACTTTGTGGAGAAAGGTAGACAGTCTCCTCTCATGAATATCCAGAGGAAAGTTACTGGGAGTCAAAACTGACTTTACAACAGTGGGTTTAGTTTTATTTTTTTATGCCTATTTATTTTTGAAGCAAAAATCAGCTGTCAGTCTTTTATTAGGGGAGGCAGAAGGCCCTCTAGGAGATGGATTGATTCGGTGACTGGGGTAATCGGATGGATGTGTTGGAGACAGTGCGATTGGCACAGGACGGAGCAGAGTTTAGGACTGTTGTACATAGGGTCGCTATGAGTCGCAAGCGACTCGACGGCACATAACAACAACAACAACACTCTTATTTCAGCCACATTCTTATTTTATCACAGGGGAACTCTGGTGGCCTAGTGGCTGAAGCTGTGCTGCAATTCTGAAGGCGTGCAGTTCAAAGCCACGAGCTGCTCTGCATGAGGACGGGCAATCGCCTCCTGTGTGTTTAACTGCCTCTAATAACCCACCAGAGGGTCAGTGATGCATTGCTTCCAACTTGATGGTACACAACAACAACAACAACAACAACAACAACCGATTCCTATTTCAGCTGAATCTTCTCCTCTCGCCTCTGAGGGGTCACTGAGTGTCATTTAGTTTTGAGTGTTTTCGTAGTGATGCTCTGTAGATTCGCTTTCATTCCCATTTTCCTCAGGGCCAGATTTTGATTTGCCTTTCCTTGAGTCTGTTCTAACCCTAGCAGATGGTGTTAGGTGGTTCTTGTTTTGGGCTATGGAGTAGGGCCCACCCATGGTGTCCCGGAGTAGAACTGTGGTTCATAGGATCTTCAGTGGATGGTTTCTCCAAGCAGAGCATGGTACCTCTGGGTGAACTTGGCTTGCCAACCTTTCAGTCAATATGCTGTTTGTGCCACTAAGGTGCCCTTGAGCCTGTCTGTTTTAAATAGTATTGATTCTGTCTTCACTCTCACTTTTTTAATACTTGGAAGTTCATGCCGTAAAATATCCGTTCATGCCTCCATCCATATATCTATGTCTATGTCTATATCATCTATATTTATATCTCTATCTAATCTCTATCTCTAATATATCTATATCTATTTAATCTCTCTCTATCTCTATCTCTATCTCTATCTCTATCTCTTTCATCTATGTCTATGCCTATCTCTATATATACATCTACATCATCTATCTCTTTCTCTACCTCTGTCTCTGCATCTGCATGTACATCTACATCTCTATCTCTATCACTATATCTATATTGTAGTTGTAATGGGATTCTGTGAAGTAGCTGCTCTCTAACCTGGATGTTTCCATCAACCACTTTTACTTGGAAGAGATATTAGCTCTTTTTATGTTTCGTGTTGGTTATTTTCATGGCTGCTGCCACGTGCTGTTACTCAGCTGGTGTGCTTTTATGTGGTGAGACAAATATATGGAGCAAGAAAGAAAAATCACATCTTATTTCCTCAGGTTTGACCTAGATTAATTTGAAATGGCTTGATACAGTGACTGCAGTAATAGCCCAAACATAGTAAGGATTGTGAGGAGGACCCAGGACTGGATACTGTAGTATTTTGTTGGTTATGAGGTCACTGTGCGTTGGAGCCTACTTGAGGGCACTAGGAATGACACTGCTGTCAAGATGGAACCAATTCATCGCTGACTCTATGAGACTGTAAATTGCAAGTTTTCAAGACTGTAATTGAGATTGCTCAACTTTCTCCCCCAGATCCGCAAGTGGATTGGAACAAGCAGAGAGGCTCCACCTTGGAGTTAACAGTGTGATTCCCTACAGACTATACCACCAGAGCTCCAACATGGGATCTTGGTTAGCAGCACAACTCGCTATGGCCTCTACCACCAGTTGTTGTTGTTATGTGACATCATGTTGCTTGCAACTCATAGCAGCCCTGTGTACAACAGCTCTGAGCCCTGCTCTATCTTGAGCCAATCTCATTGTCTCTGACACACGTAACTCTATTACCCCAGTTACTGGGTCAACCTGTCTTATCGAGGGTCTTCCCCTCCTGCTCTGTCCCTTCATCTTCCAAAGTATGATGTCCCTCTCCAAGGACTGGTCCCTCCTTTCAACATTTCCAAAGTACATCAGATGGAGCTTCAAAATCCTTATCTTCAAGGAACAGCCTGGTTTTACCCTCTCAATGATGAACCTGTTTGTTCTCCTAGCAGTTCATGGTATATTCAATACTCTTCTCCAGCAGAGCTTACAATAATTAGAACATGCTTCTTTAAAAGTATACATGATATGGTTGTTAAAATGATAACCTTCTAACCAAAAGATCAAAGGTTTTAACCCAAGAGCTGCTCCACTAGAGACAATTGTAAAAATATGTAAACACTGTACCCTTGGAAATTCTCTTGGCCAATTCTTCTCTGTCCAGTAGGGATGCTCTTGTTGTTGTTGTTGTTGTTGTTGTGTACTGTAGAATCAGAACTGGTCCATAGCTGACCTTCCTGCAGGTTTTCAGAGTAATCACACAGGGGGAGAGTGCCCATCCTTCTTCCATGCAGTGTCTGGTGACCTTGAACCCTGTGCCTTTGGGATTACAGCATAGTTTCTTGTCATGAGGCCACCAGAGCTGCCTAGCAGAGCTGCTAGGAGTTGAAGTCAACTTGATAGCAGGCAGCTTTGTTCTGGTTACTGTGCTTTGTTATGCCATTTTAATGACTTAATTTCTATAGAACTTATGAACTTAAGTCTCTTGGTACTACATAATGCAGTTTCTTTTTCATTTGCTATTGTTGGCTTAGGGTGGATGGGCACTTCTGCAGAACTGCCATCTGGGACTCAATTTCATGGATGAGCTAATGGACATAATTATGGAGACCGAGACTGTACACGATGCTTTCCGCCTCTGGATGACCACCGAGGTTCATAAGCAGTTTCCCATCACCCTCCTTCAGATGTCCATTAAATTTGCCAACGAGCCTCCTCAGGGCCTCCGGGCTGGACTGAAAAGAACATATGGTGGTGAGTCTCCGCAAGTGTGTGCACTTTAATGATTTTCTTAAGCAAATTGTAATGAACTTCATTAGGATATAGTTATAGCAAATCGTCCAGTTATTAAGGGTGATCATAGTCGGCTTCAACAAAGCTCCGTGTAGAGTGTGTCTGAGAAATGTTAGGGGCTCAAAGTTTACGATTCCCAGATTAGATTTCCTCCAAATTCCTCCACTTAGATTCTTCAGCTTGACACCTTGCTCATGTACGTTAACATTCAATGTAATGATTTTGTATTGTATTGTCTTTGTGTTCCATGCCCTTCAAAGAGAAGACATTGCTTTGACCTTATAGCCAACCTCCACTTTAGTGAGTGTGTGTACCAGAATATTAGATCACTTCACTTGTACGGAATAGCCAGACCTGGTGAGTGTAGAGACAAGAGTTTAATAGTGGTTATTTGAGGTTGTAGATAGGAAGTCATGGGAGTTATAACTCAAGGGGCCCTGAGTTTCCCTTTGAGGTAAATAAACAAATTTTGGAAATAGTGGTAATGATTTTACAACATTGTGAACTTAATGAATGTCCCTAAATTTGTACACTTAAAAATGAGACTGATTTTTTTTTCAGTGCCACATATCCTGTTTGGAAGCAGGAGTGGCATCCTCTTCCATAAATAGCTTGCCTCCAGAAACCCTATGAACCTGGAGAAAGGATAAAAGTCACGCAAGTGTCGATGACTTTCCTTCATAGGGTTCATAGGGTCGCTATAAGTCGCCTACGACTTGACAGCACTTAACAACAACAAAGATATCCTGCTATTCTTAGGTATAATCGTGTGGACTCTGATTCACAGTGAACCTGTGGGTGAGAGATTGGAAGCTTGTCCTCTTGTGCCCCATCCTCACAATTTCCATCATGCTTTAACCCGTTGCTGCAGTCACTGTGCCAATCCATCTTGTGAAAGATCTTCCTTTCATTTACTGACCCTCTGCTTTATGAGGCATGATGTGTTCTGTAGTTTGCCACATTTTTAAAATGAAAAGTAAATGAGTAATGTCAGAAATTCAAGCTGGATTTAGAAGACACCGTGACATCAGAGGTTTCATTGCTGATGTCACATGGATTATGTCTGAAAGTAAACACCAGAAGAATGTCTATTTCTGCTTTAATGACAGTGACATGGCATTGACTGTGTGGATCATAAAAAAATTATGGCTAAATTTGTGAATGGGAATCCCAGAGCACTTTTGTGTTAATGTAAAAACTATACCTAGACCAAAAGGCTATTGTGAGAACACGGCAAGAAACACCACATGGTTTAAAATTAGGAAACGTGTGTGTGTATTCTTCCTACATACCTTTTTAATCTGTATGATGAAAAAATTATATGTGAATCTGGACCCTGTGAAGGAGAATGTGACATCTAGATTGAAAGAAGACTCATCAACAACTTGCATTATGCAGATGACAAAACTTTGATTGCTTAAAGTGAGGAGGACTTAAAGCACTTGCTGCAGAAGAGCAAAGAATACAGCCTTTGATATGAATTGCACCTCAATGTCATGAAAACAAAAATTCTTATCAATGGACAGATAGACAACATCATGATAGATGGAAAAAAGATTGAAATTGTCAATGATTTACTCTTACTTGGTTCCACAATCAATACACTTGGCAAAGCAGTCAGTATATCAGGAGATATATTGCAATGGAAAAGTCTGCAGTCAGGGAACTCTGTAAATTATTGAGGAGCAATGATGTCAGGTTGAGGATTAAGGTGTGCCTGATTCAGTCTGTGGTCTTTTCAATCCCTGCTGAGAGCTGGACAACGAATAAGGAATAACAGAAGAATGCTTCAAAATGTGGTCTTAGAGAAGAGTGCTGAATGAGCCATCAACTACCAAAAGAACAAACAGATATGTATTGGAGAAAGTGCAGCTGGAGTTCTCCTTGGAGGTTAGGATAGTGAAGCTTCATATCATATACTTTGAACATGTTTATGGGTAATCCTTGAAGAAGTACATTATACTTGGAAAAGTTGAGGGAAAGCTAAGGAGAGTACAGGCCTTCAACCACGGGTATTGACACAGTGACTGCAGTAATGGGCTCAGGTGTGTCAGAGATTTTGAGGATTGTTCAGGACAAACCAGGGCTCAGATCTCTTTGTGTATAGTATCACTATGAGTAATTCTCAACTTAATGGCACCTAACCACAACACACAAAAAGAGTGGTAATTAAGCCAATACTGCCTTTTTCCCTGCTTTTGGTAGCCACTATTAAAATCTATTCTCTAATCTATTCCCATTTGCCAGTTTAAGTGTTATATATTAGCTACATTTCCAGGTTGTTACCTAAGAGACTTGATGGTAGCAACATGAACAGTACAACGTTATTCTGTATAAAATTTCAAAATCGTTATATTAACAACCAACATATAGATAATGTAGTATGCATATATGAAAAGATATTGGCACTGACTGGAAGAGACCCATATCTATACCCATTCAAAAAAAAAGGTGATCCAACAGAGTGTAGTAAGACTTATTAAACAATATCACTAATATCACACACAAGCAAAATCCTGCAGAGGATTATGCAAACAAAGAACAACAATAACAAACCCCAAAAACCTAACCTGGCACAACCAAGCAACCAAGAACTGCCAGAAGTGCAAGCTGGATTTAGAAGAGACTGTAGCATCAGGACACCGAAGCCAATATCAGGTGGTTCTCAGCAGAAAGCAGAGAGTACCAGAGAAATGTATATCTGTGTTTCGTTGATTAAGCAAAGGTATTTGAATTTGTGGATCATGACAAATTGTGGTTAACCTTGAGAAGAATGGGAATCCCAGAATACCTGAAAACCCACTGGAGGGTCAGCTGTGAGTCCATTCCTACTTGACAATGCACAACGACAAGAAGCCCATTGATAAGACCCCAAAGATAGGACTCAATTACGATATTTCTTTTTTGCTATTATCATCTATCCACCTCTATATGAGGCTCACATTACCTTGTTAGATATGCAGTATCTGATGCCTTATTCAGCTAGCCCCTCGTCCTCCTTGCTGTTGAATCCATTCTGATTCATGGTGAACCTTCAGCTGGTTTCCCAGGCTGTTGAATGAGAACTAGAGCAGATTGCTCAGCTGTCTTCCCTCCGAGCTGCTGGAGGAGCTGATCCACTGTAGCCTTTGGGTCCGCTGTGTAACTCGCTGTAGTCACCAGAGCACTGATGGCTTCTTGTTGTTGTTATTTACCCAGATGAGATCGATTGACACGGTTGACTATGATAATGGGGGTAGGTGTGTCAGAGTCAGTGAGATGGGCTCAGGACGGGGCAGGCTTCAGAGGTGTTGTACACAGAGTCAAGTTGCAGGTAACTTGATGGCACGTGGCAACAACCACCACCACCAAGTTGAAACCTACTAGCTGGCCCTCGTGGGTTTTCAGAGGCAAGGCAGTCAATCACACAGAAGGAAGATTGCCCATCTGTCTCTCACAGAGCATCTGGTGGATTTGAACAATGTGCCTTTGGCTTGGCAACACAACTCCTTACCACTGGGCCACCAGAGCTCCCTGCTTAGTATCACCAAAATCTCTTGGCAATATTTTTTTCAGAGAGAAAGGTCCTCTGGATATTCAAATGTCAAATTACCATTGTCATGAGACTGTGATAAAAAAAGAAATAAAAAATGAGCCAAGTTTTGTATCAGAAAATGACAAAAAATTATGTTATTAAAATAATCGAAACAAAGAGTGATGCCTCTTTTCCCGTCCACTAGGCGTGAGCCAGGACCTGCTGGACGTGAGCACTGCGGCCCAGTGGAAGCCCATGCTGTACGCAGTGGCCTTCCTTCACTCCACGGTTCAGGAAAGGCGCAAGTTTGGTCCACTTGGCTGGAACATACCCTATGAGTTTAATCAAGCCGACTTCAATGCTACTGTGCAGTTTATCCAAAACCACTTGGATGATATGGATATCAAAAAGGTATAGAGAAGCCCCTCTCATTACTGCTGCTGGGGAACCGGGGCTCTCAAGCTCATCTGGCCACTGCACTTTTGGGATAAATCATGTGATTGTGGTGATTTTCTTTGTTGATAAGTTATTAAGCCATAGCAACTTGGGCCACATTACTTTACATTTAGAGTGAATCAAGGACACATTTTTATTATTATTTTATTATT